AAGGACACTATATGTGGGAATTACTGGGGCAGTTTTGTGCCCCGTGTGTTGTCGGGAGCTGAGGCTGGGAGCTCTGGGTGGCTTTGGAAATCGGTGCGTGCCGGTGTGCTCTTGCCACTGCTCCGCGAGGAGGAGAAGCGTTAGTCCCCCGTGGAGGCCTACGCAGGATGCGTGAGGGAGCATTGACATATTGTTTTTGCCATTTTTTCTCTTTTTGGCAAATTCATTGTTTAATTAATTGAAACAGATGTCAGAGGAAACAGAAGAAACAGAAGAAACAGAAGCTCAGTCTTCTGTGATTTTTAACTTCCTTTAAAAAAGAAAACAATTTGTATGGGTAAATAGGAAAAAAAGAAGTTATAAGTTTTCTCCCCAGATGCTGACATTTGCAGCCAGCTCTATTTCAGAGAGGTGGTACTGCAGCAGCGCTGCTTCCCGTAGCTCCGTAGCTCCTAGCTCGGCTGCAGAAGCCCCGCAGCAGGATGTGGAGCGGTTTTGCAGGGCTGCACGCTAACCTTGGCAACCTCGAAACATCGGCAGGTTTTGAAAAGCCATTTGCAAAATGCATTGCAAAAATGTAGGGCATTCCCCAGCGACCAAAGGGCAAGTACAGTGCGTGTTTGCTTCTTGAAAAACACTTGAGGAAATGGGTAGCCCAGAGCAATTTGGAATGCTCGTCAACGTCTTATTAGTGCTCTTAAGAAGTTTACTAAAATGCTGATGTCATGCTAGTAAATTTGTAGAGTTCTTGGTATATAGTAAGCGGCGAGTCTGCTGAGGAGTTTTTGGTGATGGTGACGTTGCGGGGAACCTTGCTGGTCCTTGGAGATACGAAATGAAGGTGGTTAGGACTCCCCTGCAAAGGCAGCACAAACGCAAACTGATCCGAGGGACAGCGCTCGAAGCGCTAATCCAGGATGCTTGGCCAAAGGAAAAAGGGATTTTCATAGAGCAGCTCTCCGGCGGGTCATTAGAACCAGGGCTTTTGGTAGAGGTGTGATAATGAGGCTTAATTACTTGTAAGCTTAGGGTCCCTTGACGTACCGCAGTGTCGTGATAAAGCCTCTCAAGTGGGATGCTGATGCGGTCGTCAGCACCAAAGTTTTCCAGCAAAATATACATTCCTACACAAAGCAAGTTATCTTTTGTGTCTGTTTAAAGTATCTTTACATGGAACGTATGCTTTGCAGCATGATTTTCAAAGATTTTTAAAGATATTATGCCTACTTTTCTTGCAGAAAGCTTTGTATGCTAACACTTTTGGGTCATATCTCAATGTAACAGGCTTATTTGTCAGAATAATTTAAAAAAAAACCCTTCCTGTTTCATCAGCTGGTTATAAAAGGCTAAATCACACTTTATTAATAATTAATAAGTGCATAAAAGGAGTTTTGGCAGCTGGGATTGAAAGGTACCTAGATAAAAGGAAAATATTTAACGATACAGTTGCCGTGGATTCAATTAAGAATAATGAAAAATCTGTTTCTTTTTAAATCACATTTTCAGAAATATTATTACCACTGCAACTGCTGCCGAGCCCTTCCAGCTCCTGTCTCTAGCCCATAGCACAGCAGTGGTCTCAGGGTCCTGCAGACGCTGGAATGAGAAATCAGCAGTTTGCAGTGGGCTCACAGACTAAAATTAAACAGTGATTTCCTGGCTTGCAGTCAGATGCTGGGGGCTCCCTTAGCGATGCAAGTGTTTCTGGACCGGGGAAGTCTGTATCTGGACTTTGATGCGACGGAGTTGGTGTTTTCTGGATGTCCTGCTCTTTGCCGTCCCTTGCAGAGCGTCGCACAAGCAGGGTGTTCAGCGCGGTCCCTTGCCACCTCCCGTGCCAAGGGCGGAAACGCGGACAGCTTGTAGTGGCGCTGGGTGGTGTTTTGGGTGCCATTTTACAGGCATTGCATTTTCCAGGAACAAGCAGTTTCCGGGAGGGACGAGCCCTCGGGAGATCCCCCGCTGTGCCCCGAGCGACACGACCCCGTTTGATTTCGGGGTGGTCGCACAGCAGCCATGAGCTGGCATCACCCACGTGGGGGTCCTGCAATTAGTCTTGAAGGTCTTTTGCTCAGTAACAGACTTTTGCCCCTTGAGTTGCAGGAAAGCTGTTGTATCCTTTCAGAGCGATCCTTGACCGTTTCTACAGACAGCAACAAACCGTACCAGCAATTAAGTTTTTTTGTTTCCTTTTTTCTCATTAGAGACGAAGCTGAGTCACTGAAGGCCCAGCATGATTTCCCCACGCTGCTCGCGGCTCTGCGACCCGGACAGCTTCAGGCTGCCTTTGCTCCGCGTTGCTGCTTTGCTGCTGCTGCTGCTCCTCCTCCGGCTGCTCTTCGTGGCGCGGCAGCGCTCGCCGAGTCCCTTGGGGGGGCTACGCTGCCGGGGCTCTCGGTCTTTAGGTGAAATTTGGAACAGGTTGTGTTGCCCGAGGAATATTTTTCTGACAGCACCGCAGCGCAGAGTTTGGTTCACCAGGCCAGTCTTAGCAGCATTTTGGCGTTGCCCTGCCTCAAAGAGATTTTCCTCAGCGTCAGTCAGCCCCTTTTCTCCCTTGCTATGGAAGTGGCTGTTCAATGCGGCAGCCTCGCTGGCAGACTCACGGGACCCTGACGGGTTCGCTCCCCTCCCTTCTGGTTTGTGTCTTGGCTTGGGTTTAGGTACTTAACAGAAGAGGTGTCTTCCTGTAGAGGCTCCCACAGGTGGGAGCTGAGTTTCTCAAGGGGTTCCTTGATGTGGTTTTGGCGCCTTCTGCACAACAGAAGTTTAGAAGTATGACAGGCGAGTTACCATTTTTTGTTGAAAGTCCCCAAGTTGCTCCATAATACGTCTTTTGCTCAGTGCTGCTGCTTGAAGGCATTAGTGCTGAGATTATAGTTTAAGCATAAGCCACTTTTCCAATCAACCCTCTATCCTGAAATTAATATTCTTCTTGAATTAGGAGTACAATAGAAAGCACAAGTCCCTGATAGTTGCCTAAAAGTGAGACCTGAGTGCCCTGGAGCCAATAACTCGTGGTGTCCAGGTGGATTCGTCAGGACCTGAGCTGCGCACGGTCCAATCCGCAGGGCTGACAGCAGTAATTATAGTTGGGAGCTGGCAAACAGCACCCTGGAGTAAAGAGATACAGAGCAATGAGTCGAAGACAAAGCTGAAGCAAACCACGAAGCAGACAGGAATGGCTGTTAGGGAACGAATGCATTGAGTTGGTTTGGAGAATCATATTGAGGCAAAAGGAGAAATTAAATGTGTGCTAAAAGCTGGCACATTAGTAAATGGGCTGTGGTTTTTTTTTATCCATTTTATGTTTCAAAACATTGAAATAAAGTATGTCCTACGGTGAAATCCCAGTAAGAGATAAATCTTTGAGGAGGGAAATATGGTCTTTGTTAACAGGAAACAGGGACTCAGCTTCTCTTCCCCGATCAGCCATGGACTGCCTTGTGCCATGGGACAAATCAGCTTTGGGTACTGACTTTAGCAGGAATAGAAGCAATCAGAGCTCGTGCTTGACATGTCACTGATAAAGCAGAGGAAGAGAAGACTTTGCCGTTTTCTTCCCAGGTCAGCAGAGTTTGGCATGGGGCAGTGGCACTGGGCACTCTCACAGCCTTTCTGGGGGGCTTCCTGCCCTTACCTCAAGGACAGCCCTTGCACAGCTGTCCTTCCGCAGGCTTCTGAAAGACCCTTCAGGTTTCAAGGGATTGAGTCTTTGTGCATAATGATCATTTTAAGGAAATTCTGTATTTGCATTGGATTTCCATCTTCTCAGAAACAAAACAAAACAAGGATCCTTTGAACACCTCCTCCAAGTGCCCCCTGCAAAACCAAAGCCCATGTTGTCTCTAGCTGCACCGTGTCCTTCAGCATCATAAGAATGGTCTGGGACTGTTGTACCCCAACAGCCTTCCCAGCGTGACTCCTCAGGGTTGTGTGGCAGTGGTACCTGGTCGTGTTCATGTTCCCTGGGGGTTGCAGCTCTCCCAGCTGGGCGGTAGGGGAAGGAGGCTGGTGGAAGTTCAGCTCTGGAAGCTGGGCTTGTGACAGAAGTGACAATGCTGGTGGAGAAGTATGGGAGCTGCTGACCTGCAAGACTTTCTAAGGAGGTTTCCCAACTAGTGCTTGGTGAGCTTGGGTGGATACCCCTTCTGCAGTGGCTGGGCTGGGCTGGGCTGGGCTGGGATTTCACTGGTTGTCACTGAGTGAAATAAGTCTTTAAACCACATGGCAGGGCATTGATGGCACGTGGTGATGGCACATGGCCTTGGCGCACAGTGATGCCACATGGTGATGGCACGTGGCATTGGTACGTGGTGATGGCGTGCAGTGGTGGCATGTGGTGACGGTGCATGGTGGTGGCACATGGTGGGAAACTGCCGTCCTTGGTGCTGGGGCTCTGTGCCCCCTTTGGCCACCCAGGAGGGCCCAGCAGCCCAGTGGGGGCTGCCTGGGCTGTTCGTGGGCTCCTGAAGGGCAGACATGCTCCGGTATGGTTGTGATCAGCTACAAGATGCTCTTTGATGGGAGCTGCAATCAAGCATGAGCAGAAGTAGCTGCAGCCTGGTGGCATGCTCAGAAGGAGGGTGGCCTGCAGGACCCCCATCTTTCTGTCCCACCTGCGCATTGGGTGGCCCACGATGCTCCATGTATCTCCCATCTGTGACTCCCCTGGCTGTTATGAATTCCCTTCTCTACTTGACATCTTGAGAAATCAATGCCGAGCATGTTCAAGGAGCTGCAGCTTTCGTTTTCACCTGCAGAGCGAAGGCTGAGTTGTTGTAGGACAGGCAACGTGCACCTTTGCAAGGGCCGTTTCCTTGTGGCCTGGTGAGCAGTGACTGACAGCTGTCAGGGACGGGTGACGGCTCAGAGGGAGGCAGCAGCGAGTTCCCCTCTGCTCGGCTTGCAGGGGGTGCAGTGAGGAGGGGACCTTGAGCTGCTGCTTCGCGTCTGCAAGCCAAGCACTCGGAGTCTGTTCCCTGGCATGCAGTCCGCACGCTGCTCTTTATGCAGAGGAATAAGATAAAATAGCTTCCTCCCCCTCATGTCGCTACCGAAAACAGGAATGGGGAAAAAAATAATCCCTCAGCCCCTGCCCAGCTTGTGGTGATAAGAGTAATGCAATCGTTTTTTTAAAGGAGGCAGCCAAGACAATTACATTGTTTACTCAACAGAGCCATTTTGGAGATTTCTGCGTTGTGCATGTTTTCTCATTCATTTTGCACCAAATTCATTGCAGCAGCAAGGCCAGAGAGTTTGCCTTGACTCCCCTCACTACCAAAATAAACGCACAGGGCAGGATTGTTCCACTGAGCCGCTGCGAGTGGGGAGAGAGAAGAAGGCAGGGAGATGGTACGTGCCGGCAGCTCTCAACTGCACGCAGTGAGGATTGCGATGTATGAGAGAGTTCAGGGGGGAAAGAGGAGGAAGTAACGGAGGCAGCCGAAGCTCGCAGGATGGCAAGAGCCAAGCTGAAGAATTCCCCCTCGGAGAGCAATGCGCACGTGAAGACTGTCCCACCAGCCACGACGGACGATGGCCATGGGGTGAGCCCCTTGCTGCCGGCTCGGAGGATGGGATCCTTGGGGAGTGATGTCGGACAAAGGTATTGCAGGACTGCAGTGGTGCGTGGGGCTCTGAGGGTGGGGGCAAGCAGCATGTTTTCTGTTTTAAATGAAAGGAGAAGGATGAGTGCCACCCTGGGCTGCAGAGGTGGTGGATGAAATCCTTTTGATAGCTATGTTAAAGAGCCACCCCAGCCCCAAAGTTGCGTTATGAAATAGGTAGCTGGAGCAGAAGAAAGCCAGTTCCTTTAAATTTTTTATAAGAACTCCTCGTTTCTTATATGCCAAAAGCATATCTGAATGGCAGCCCCAAGACGGTAGGGCTGCTACACAGCACTGTTAACTTGCATTGTGCCTTATCTGTGCAGTATGAGACTGAAGCTTATTTACACTGCTAACACCACAGTATGCACTGTACATAAGCACCATGTTTGCAATTGGAAGAGATGCTTGATCCCCCATTTGAGGAATAATTTATTTACAACTGAAAAAAAAAAAGAAGCTAGCATGCAAAATGCTGCAGCCTCTTTCTGCAAGCACACAGCTGAGATGTGCAGAAAGAAATGAGCTGTTTTTCAGAAGGATAAAAATGCTTTGCACTGCACTTGAATTGCACTGTTTCAGAAGAAGACAGGTCCCTTGTTATGATAAAGATGCATATGTCAGTTTTTGTTCCGTTCATTTTATTTTCTGTTTCTTTTTTCACCTCTTTCTCTTCAGCCTTTCAGCCCATCCACGCTCTCTTCTTTCTCAGCAAAAATTGCCTCACCTGTGATTGTGTACCATATGGCTTCCAGGATGTAATTTGGTGCTGTTTCTAGTTCAGCTTTCCAGTGCAAGTTAGCACAGTAGGAAGGCTTCTGCTCACGGTGACTTGTGCTTGTTTGGCTTTAGATTGGAAGGAATTAACCGTGCCAGAGCCGGTATCTTCACGTATATCACTGGTGGGCTGGGGGCAAGACAGCAACAAGCGCAGGATTAGCAGATGTGGTCCCCATTGGGAAAATCAAGGAGGTAGGTGTGCGGTGGAGGAGCCAGGCTGCTGCGGCCACCTCCCCGGCGCTGAGCCGTGCCGGGCGTGTGCTGCGTTCTCTGGGGCCGACGACAGCGTCCTGGCTCGCTCGCAGAGCTCAGAGCGCAGGTCTCTGTGCGTTGTGCGATGTGTCAGCTCTGCAGATGGCACCTGTGCGGGCTTTCTGGTGAGCAGGCCCTCTGGTCTCGCAGGTCCTTGCCTTTTGACTTCAGGAGGAAAGGGCTTTTGTGTATGGAAAGCTGCAGATAGGCGTTATGCAAAGCCATGAAGCCTGTGTGGTCTCATCGTGTTTTGATGAGCAATCTGAACCTCCCTCTGCTCCCTGGGTAGACCAGGTTCCTCTCTCTCTTTTCCTGACTTGTTTCCATTGGTTCAAAGGGACATTAAAGACTGACCGATTCCGGGGGTTCGTGTATCTCTGAGGGCAGGTCCAGAACCGTTCTGTTGGCAAAGCCCCGGAGTGAGCTTGCTTCCTTCTCTGTGACCTTCTAGACAGTGTTGATTTACTCCTCATAACAGTGCTAGGACATTCAAACCCAGATGTGCTGGGACCAGAAAACAGCTCAGCTGTGGGGCTCCTGGAAGCTCATTGTAGCCACTGCTAATGAGCTGGGAGTAAACAGGCAAGAGGGGTTTTTCCTCTGCAGAGCCCAGAGGCTGGGTGAGTTCCTGCCCGGGCTGGGAACGGAGACCAGGTAGCCAAGCCTCCGCTCGCAGAGGCCTGATGCTCCTCGTCTCCTGGGGAGAACCTGCCATGAAGGAGGGATGCAGGAAGACCACATTGGATTTGGGGCGGGATCAATTCCAAAAATCACAAAACTACCGTGTTTCAGTGGACCCTTGCCAGGAGGCCAAGCACACCGGGGTATCTCAAGACTTTATAAAAGGCATAGCAAGTGTTGAACCCAATTCCCCTAGGTTTCACTGGAATTTTGAGGGGTTTGCTGCACTCCTGTTGAAAGGAACGGGTAGTGACTTGCATACTGCTGGCTAGAGGTAGAGAAGTTCATGGCGACATTTTTTCTACCCTCTTTCTCTGGCACCAGGCAGAGCCCTGTGAGCCTCCGCTCACACAGTGTCCCAGTTCTGCTGTGCTCTCTGACTTCTCACTGCACTGCATCTCAGTAACTGAGTTGGCAATTAAGATTGAAATTTGTGCTCTTCTCTTTCACTGCATAGGCAAGCAACAAAGGAAGGATGATTGTTTCTGCAGTAATGAATAGCATGTTTAGGGTGCTCTGGCTCCTCCCACGCCACATGCAAGGAGCATGACCTAGTCAAGCGATAACCATTGTTACTAGGAGTTGGGAGCAAAATTACGAGGTGATAGTGGAAGGAAAAGATGCTGGGTTACAAGATGTTCCCAGATGAAGACATCCCAACATGTCTTCTTGATGAGACTGAAGCCAGTTAAGTTTATTCTCACCTGCTTTATTTATCTCTTGCTCTGTCTCTTAGTCATTGCAGCACTTCAAAGCTTTTAGGGGTTCTAAGTCAAAACAGGAGAAAAGGGCATGGATTCACCTGAAAAGGACCCATGGCCACGTGCTGTTCAATGCCTGACCGCAAAGAAAGGGGAGCTCAGAGCTGTCCCTCGCATCGAGAGCGGTGGATCCGGTGCTGCAGTGTGGCAGGTTGAGGGCTGCTGCGTTTAAGAGAAAGCTGCTGGCAGGCTTAAAGACATGTAAATATCTGTGCTTGGATCTCGTTCTGTGGACTGCTGATCTCTCTCTAATACCGGACGTGTGGATTTAAAGAAAACGTTTTTACAAGATAATCATGTCCTGTTTATGCAGCTCTGCTGGGAAGTAGGGGACGTTCTGGCCACTAGCCGTACCGGGGCAAACTGATACTCTTAAGGGATTGTAAGCACACCCTGAAAGTATCTGGTTTTGAAGATCTGTCATAAAACATGGGAGGGCCAGAGGCTGGTGGTACTGCATGTCCCTTCTCTGACCCTGTGCCTCTACTCCTGCCTGTCTGAACCATGTTTGCTGAGCTGCCAATAGCTGCGAGTGTGGTTTCTCTACGTGTTCCCTGTTTGGAGTTAAAGATTGCTCCCCTAAAAACTGGAGGGACATGCCATAAGCTTTAACCATGCTGACCTGAAGATTGCTGGAAGCTAGGAGGGCTTCGTGGAGAAGCATCGTGTTTTGGTGCCCTGCTTTTGGCTCTTTCTGTAAGCCCGTGCCCTCGTCTCTGTTGGATACGGAGCAATGTGGACCTTTGGTCTCACCCAGGACAATCTGATTTTTGAGAACTGAGGGAGTGGGAGCCGTTGTGAGTGCAGGCTGCAGAGCTAGGAAATGCTGTGATTTGAAACCTTACGAAACCATGCTCTTAAAAAAACCTGAAATGCTAAGCTTTGGAGAAGAAAATGAGAGTTGTTTAGGTTGGCAGGGACCTCTGGAGATCTGTAGTCCAACCCCCTTCTCAAAGCAGGACTAACTTTAAAGTTAGATCGGGTTGTTGAGGACTGGTCCAGCTGAGTTTTGGCAGCCTCCAAGGATGGAGAATAGCCTCTCTGGGTGCCCGTTTCAGGGCTTAATCGCTCTTGGGTGAATAATTTTTCTCCTCGTAGCTCTTCAGAATTTCCCATGCTGCAGCTTGTGCCTGCTGCCTCTTGTCCTTTGTGTGTACATCTGAGGAGAGGCTGGCTCCATCTCACCCCACAACCCCGCATTAGGTAGCTGAAGACAGCAATTAGATCCTTCCTACACTTTCTCTTCTTCAGGCTGCACAAACCCACCTCCTTCAGCCTCTCCTCGTCTGTCGATTCAATGTATTTTTGGCAGGAAAAATGGGACTTTGCTTCAGTCACGTTACCGCGAGCAACGTGGCTGGAGTCTACTCAGCAATCCAGCGAGAGAAATAGCAGCAGATTGGTAGGAAGAGTTTAATCCAGCGTCTCCTGAATGTAAAGCACTTCGGAGAGTGAGAAAACCACCCAAACACGTTTGAAAGTGCAATTTCTAACCAATCAGTGTTTGTTCCCCCAAGGAGCAGCCAGGCATTAGCAAACAGATCTTGCTAATTGTGTTTTCATTTTCCGGCTCCCAGACGCTGTCAGAGCAGCGGAAAGGTCCAGTGTGACTGTTGGGACCATTAAAACCATTCTGTCTTAACAGCCAAGTTGCTTGGTGATTGTCTCCATAGCAGGTTGCGGGAGCGAACGGTTGTGCACCATTTCCTCCTGCTGTTGAACACATGGTGACGCCCCGCTGCTCAATTCCCCCTCTTGGGGACAATAAGTCAACAGTTGTTTTTTAGCGTTTCTTTAACAAAAGGTTTTTCCAACAAACAGCTCTGGGAGACGTTTCTGTCTTCAGTGCATAACATATGCTGTTTTGCTCCTTTAGCTGGAAGCGTTTCGGGTAGGAGAGAGAGGCTATTTGCAGGAGCGGACAGGTAGCTCCCTCGGAGGCGGTTTGCCTGCCGCAGCCCGCCCTGCCCGGCCCCGGTGCATCCGGCATTTCTTACTTTGCGAGCACGGGCTCCCAGAGAACCCCACAGGTCTGCGTCCAGCCGTCGCTGGAGCGTTGCAAGGGATGAGAGCTGCTCCGGGGAGCCCAGGTCAGCGCGGGTCTCCACTAAAACCGCTGAAACTCTTAACAATCGGGCAAAAGGTTTAACGCAGAAGTTGAGGAACGCTGAGGGGACGACGCAGCGGGGCCGAGGGGGACGTTGCGTCCGGGACCCCCGCTCCCTCCCCGTGCCCGGCTCCCCTTCCGGGCCCTCTGCCAGGCGTCGCCTCTTCCCGAAGCAGTCGCAGGGAGGCGGCTGGGGCTTGGGGGGGCTCCGGG